GCGATCATATCAGGGAGGTGAGTGCACTCCTTTAACTTTTATATCACCTGACACAAATGAGGGGCCTTCAGAAAGTCTTGGGAAACAATTCCATTTGTCTATGAACTTTAAGCCTCCTGGTATTTACATATTAACAAAAGTACTACATCAAGAAGTATTGATACCAAGGTTCCTGTTCATACGTACATGGATTTATTCTAAAGAAAACGTGTTTAAACAAGTCTCTGTGACCAGTAGATGGCTGCAGATGACTTCTCTCATTAATACACTTAAATAAAAAAAACTGAATTGCACATTTATAAAGATTAGCCTCCCCCTGCAAAAAAGAGAAAAAGATTAGCCCCCTTGGAATTCCAAAGCTGACCTCTCTGCCTTGAGTTTAAACTGGCCCAGCAAGTCACTTGGCAGCCAGTTTTGACTGGATCATTGTTTCTTAAAGGCACTCGATGGATTGACACAGTGGCTGCCGCTGTAGCTTCAATCTTAGGAGCGATTGTGAGGCGGAGCAGGACCATGCTGTTGTCCACACAGTTGCTGTGGTCAAAGCCAACTCAATGGCACTTTACAGCGTAGACGCAATACCTTTTGGCTTAACCCTGCTGTCTGTGAGGCCCCCCAAATAAGACGATGTTTTGATCAACTGTTATAGTCCTACCACCTACAACACTCTGGACACACAGTGGGTACTCAATATTTGCTGAATCCATGAAAGAGATAATGAAGATAAGCTAGTCAAAAACAAAACCAAACTCACTGCCACCTAGTCGATTCTGACTTCGGGTTACTCAGTGTGGAGTACCAGCCCTCACTGCCAGCCCCTAACAAATCATCACAGGTCCAGCAGGTGCAATTGTACAGCGATAATAGAGAGGAGAGAGTAAAATGAAGGAGTCAGACACATTGCATGGTAGCATGCTCACCTCAGCCCCACTTGGTGGCCCACGTGGAGATGGGGGATGAGAGGGCAGGCAAGAGCAAGAGGGGAAGGAGGACAAGGGGAAAGAGGACAGGGGAGAGAGGACCGGGAGAGCGAGCCAGGGGGACAGAGAGATCTTTATTGCTAACCAAGGCTTATACATCTTTGGGGTGGGGGGAGCAAGCCCACTACCTACAGATAAAAAGACATATGTCACAGAAGGGGTTGTACTAAAATGTTTTGAGAAACGATGTACAAATGCGCTTTACACAATTGATGTGTGTATGGATTGGGATAACAGTTGTATGAGCCCCTAAT